CTCCCCCCCCCCCACCTTCATAATGTTCGCGAAACAAGAAAAATCAACTATCAAAAAAAATTTCTCTGATCAATTACGAACCCTTTCCCTCGCGGTCAAATACTACCTCCCCTCTTGTGATTATCACAATGATGGCGTGCCCTGAACCATACACGACAAAGATTGCCCCGCAGACAAGACTGGTCCGCAATAGGTTTGAGCCTCGATTAGAAGAAGGTAAGCGGAGGTCGGTAGCCCTCGCCATCCCTATTTCACAGATAACATTAGCGCCCAGACAGTCACAAAGAGACTATGTGCTGTATGACAATAGTCCTCGGCGACAGGGTACAGCATCGTTTTGTGAAACACATGGGGGAGGAGGTCGTACTTTTTTCCCCTGGGGAGGGAGGGGGTCGTTGGTAAAGAGGTCGTGTACGTCTTTGAGAGAAATTTGTCTCGTTGGTTTTCCGGTTGTTGACTTTTTGCGTGATTTTTCCTACCCCGCCCCGCTCGACAGCAAAATTTTAGGGAAGAAGTGGGAAAATTTTCGGGAAATTCGGAAAAGTGGTAGGAAGTTGGGGAAATTCTCCCGTTTCACATTGGCTATATACCGCCCCCTCCCGCTCGACGGAAAATTTTTAAAACTGGAAAAGGGAGATTTGTGATTAGGTGTTGGGAAAGGGGGGGGGTCGTACCGAGACCCTCAATTAAGTGGGGGGGGGGTATTGACACACCCTCCCGGAGGGGGATCGTACCTCACCACCACTTCACACATCGCTATGCTGTACCCTGCTCGGCGATCCTGGTTGTCTGCGCTATGTGCCTAAGCTTCGTTTAAGGGGTGGGAACGCAAAGACATGGCCGTGCGGCCGGGTTTCACTTCATGAACGCCAAATTCGGAAAGATGGTGTGGAGGCTGAGAGAGCGGGTTCGCGCTGAACAAGCACATTTGGGGTCTGTGGTACTGATAACGTCATTTCACCTAGCCGGTTATGTACACTGCTTGAACAGCTGGTCACCCATACCAAGAACATTATCGAGTTTCCTTAGTAAACGTTGTGTAAGAAAAATCCACTATTCTCGGCGCAGAAGGAGGGATCCGAAACGTTGGGTGGTGGTCCCACAACGAAACAATGACTGACAGGTTTCAACATGTCCATGTGCGAATAATAGTAACAGAAGGCTCATAACCAAACGTCATCGGCCATAATTGGTTCTCATAACTGTTGTAAGGCAAATATTCCTTCAAATTCAGTGGACTGACTTTTTTATTTGGGTAAATCGGCATCGTTTTACGCCCAGCTGATGGGTTTTAATGACCTGGTCGGGCATCCTACTGTTCTTTGTTTTCTACCAATTTTTGGACCATGAAATGAGCACTTTGGAGTTCTCATGAAAAAAAAGCAGAATGAATTTGACGGCTATCAATTTCCCTCTATTCAGGCCTCTTTGTTGAAATAAACCTGTGATGTACTGAAAAACTGAAATGTATTATTGAAACCTAGTTGAAGCGCTAGTTCAATATAGTCGTTTTCCAGCGTCATTCAAATAGATTGGCCCATTTGTGAAACAACTTTCGAAAAATCCTAGTTAGGTGGTCCACTCTTTATGAAATGTGAAACCGATTTTTGCCCAGAGTTTTTTGCTCCACACTTTCCTGAATGGCCCGCCCTTTGCCCAAATTCATTGTTGCTAGGCGAGTTTTTTCAGTTCTGTGCACTACCTCCTGCTTACAATAGACCTCATTGGAAGCCCCGCCCCAGATAGCTACGCCTCCTTTTTGCTGCAAATATAGTTTACATTTACATTGCACAGTTTGTTCTCTATAACTCCTTCACACTATTTTTTTTCACAAGTTCACTTTGTCACACATGTACTGTTGAATGGGCTGAATTACATCGCGAAGCGATTTTTTGCATTTTTGTGCAAAGCATCGTCTATACACGTCGCTGCACACAGTAGTAATCATTGGAAGCCCTGCCCCAGACAGCGACGGCCCTAGTTTGACGAATGTGATCCACATTTACACTTGATTTACTATTCGAAGAATTTGTGTGAAAACGAAACTCGCACAATTCTATGACTCACAGATTTTTCGATAGCATAGCAAATCGGACTAGCGAATCTGTCATGATTTTCAGGTACTTTTGGACGTTTTTCGTTGTAAAGAAGCGCTCGTCGTTGTTACGACTACGAATTTGCTTCGTGTGGCTTTTCTGGCAATAACGAAGTAATCGATTGGTGGGTTTCTTGTCTTTGTCTTGAAAAGGAATTAGTCAAAGGGATGTTGAAATTGGCTGTATAAAATGTTCTTCGTTTGAAACTTGAAATGAGCTTGGGCATGTTTGCATAATGGCTCAGAACTGGTGGGTCCGTTGCAGTGTTTGTGACGTGTTGGAAAGATTTCATGAAGCAAACGTTCTCCCATAGGAAGCATAAGAACGAGCCTCAGCTTAAGTGCAAGAGAATTTGAGCTGAAGAGCCGGCTAAAATATCATATGCTTCCAAGTTACCTCAGTCCACGTCTCAGCAGTAAAAGAATGAGTTTCGAGGATTAGTTGTGACGTGGAAACGTTGACCTTACCCGCGCAGTTCCACAGCGGATCCATTTCGGTTTCGCTTTGTTGAAAATTACGCGGCGAAGAAATGAAAGTGCATCGTTTAATAGTAGACCTTACAATGTGTGGTTGAAAGGGCACAGTTTTTCATCTGGATTTCGAAACCACCTGAAACTGTAACGGTTACCTGTTGAGTCTGGCGACTGCTCGCGAAGAACGTCCTCACGATTCTTCTGTTTGGTGAGACCTGTAAAATATAGTGAAGCTGTGAAGTGGCGGAAGTAAGCCATTTTGGTCACAGGAATTTACAGGTTTTCACAAGGTGGCCTGTACAAGTTTAACTGGGTACCATTCGGTGTCCCCTCCAAGTCAGACTGCGCCAAAATTTGTGGCGCTAGGCGATACTGGGAACGAAAAGGACCATTATCGCGACCAATGCATTGATCGGTCCCCCTGATGAATTTTCAGCGACTTTTCAACATTTGGGGTCGCAGTAATGGAAAATTAGCTTAATTTTTGCAGTCAAGTTTTACTCATCCTGGGTACTTTTACGGTAAAGTTGGCGTAGCATGATGTTTATGTGACTTTAGACTTTTGCGACAAGGAAGTCATTCTTTTTAGGAGTTTTTCTCCAACTTGGGCGACTAGGTTTCAATTGCCCGTGAATCAGCTGTTTAGTAGGCACCTCTATTTGTGAGAGCACAGTCTCTCCACAAACATCTGCCGACTTGTTGTTATTTTAGTTAAGTACGGATGCACGGCGCATACCGTGAGACCTTTGCAGTGTGTACCAATTAGTCCCATCACCAACCTTGATATTGCAAGGATGTAACGAGATAGAGGAAGTTAGACTTGTTGAAAGGGGGGGGGGTCGTACTAGAAGCAATGGTAGAAGGGGTCTATCACAATTTCCCCATTGTCATGTGCACCGTGACGTAGGATAGTGTTGTACTTACCTCTAGAAGTGCCATTCAGAAGCTGCGTTTCTTGAAGAGACTTATAGTAGGCGGTACTATTGGAACCGTAGCGCTGTACAAAGATCTGGGCCCTTACGGCGAAGATGGTGGCATTTTTCACTTTGCTGTTTCCCATCGACGTGTCGAGCCATCGATTGGAGACCTGTGAAACTTTCCGCTGAAGAGGGAATTGCATGTCCTCTTTGTGCTGCAGCGAGGTAGAACGTTTTTCCTCGGGCACTCCATATTCACCATTTGTAGAGTTCCTTCTTTTGGACTTAATAGACAGTCAAATTCGCACCAAAAGGTAATGGTTTGCACCAGCTAGGGTAGTGCTGTGAGAATTAAGATCAAACGATTAATCATTGTGAGAAAATTCGAGCACCGAGGCCTGTTTCTATAGCGGTTTGCAGCAGGAGACGTTGCTGCAGTGTGGCGGTTTTCATGACAGACATTACGCAACATAGAACAGTTCTCAGCATGAATTCTTATGTGCGTAGTCACTTGTGACACAGTATGAAGGTTTTCGTCGAAAAACGTCTCATTGATCATTTTTGTATATTTTGTCGGGGGCATAGAAGGTCATATGTTCAACAGAAGTGAAGCGGGTTTGGGGTACGAAATTTGTGATGCAGATAACTTAAGCTGAAGAAAAAAAAGAACTTCTCTCTGATTGACCTCTGCCCTTAAGTTTCACCGACTGATGGAGAACAAGGATGGCTAAAGTTTTCGTCATGGGTCAATCTCTCTTTTGGGTTATGGCTCGCATTCTACTTCCATTGAGAACTGTTGAGAACTGTAGTGGCTTGTTGAATGCGAGTATGCCTGTACACTGATTTGCGAGGCCAGCCGCCGTACAAGTCAACGAGCTTAACCTCCCAGACGAATCTGATACCTTTTTACCATCGCCGAAAGGTGGCCAGCTTGGTTTGTCTGGGCGGAAACCATTCCGGCATGGGCCGAGGGCGGGGTAAGCGTGCAATTTGTTCCTGTCATCACCACCCCGAAAGGAGAATATCACACAAAAATACAAAGAATGTTACTAATTGAGGTGGGTGGCCGTCGCGCCATGTTGGAAGGCTGCGGATGACCTGAATGCAAGGAATACTTCAAAATATACCAATTGGAGCCGGTAAGGAAGGGGATCATATCAGGATCTTTTCCGCGGGGGTCGTACTGACACCGCCGTTTCATATTTCACCATACTGTACCCTGCCAGGGCAACCACTTTACCCCTTCGAGGAAAAAAGTGGGACAGCTTTTTGAGGGGATAAGTACTCTGATTCGTATATTGGCTGGCCCCCGCAAGTCATTGTATAGGCCACATCGCATTCAATAAGCCACTACGATTCTGAATGGAAGTAGAATGCGTGCCGCATCCCGAAAAGGGATTGATCGACGGTGAACAATTTATCCTTGCCCTTTTGGTCGCTTGTGTAAAGCGGATAATTAAAAAGTACTTTTCAGATTACGAGCAACCGTGGACTTTGGTGTATCTTACTCTGGTATGTCAATGCGGGACATTGGCAAGCCCCCTGTTCGTGGTAAAACATCGCCTTATGGCTTTTTCGTGAAAATGTGCTATGAAGAGCACAAAAAGAAGTACCCTAATGAGAATGTGCAAGTAACTGAAATATCAAAGAAGTGCAGTGAAAAATGGAAGGTAGGCCAATTACTCTCTAACACTCCATATTCCCGAGATAGGGGGGAGGGGCGTTGTTGCGTACTTCATGCGAACGTGACGGCACTGCAGATCTGGTTGGATATTGCCGTTTCGGGAAGACTGCAGTCGTGCCTTTGTTTATCCCAAAGCAGGGAAATTAAACAGCAGTATCTCACAAGAAACGCATCCATCACCATGCTCAAGCGAAGTCCGCAGCAACGCCTTTTCCATCTCCGGGGTATAGTGTGTTTTCTGCATCACGAAAAAAAAATTATATATATCCTTTAGACAATGTCTGATGATGAGAAAAGGCGCTTCTACGAGCTGGCCCAGAAGGATGCCGAAAGGTACCAAGCCGAGGTTTGTCTTCTTTCGCTTTTGAAGGATATCTGATGCGTTACGGTTTTTTTTCTATGGGCCTTCCCTTGATCTCCAAGTATCTGATTAAAAAAAAAGCCCAATAGTGTTCGTTTCTAGTTTGGTAATATTGTTCTGGTACGGTCTAATTTTTTTGATTACCCTTCTGCGATGCGCCCGGGTGCGCCTTCTCGGCGCGGCAAGCCGTTAACTCTTAGCATTTGAACGGCACAAAATGATTTTTGGAGCACGGAGTGCTCCCGAAAATTATGTAAAAGAAACCAGAAGGGTGAAAATTTGCGAGAGTGTTTAACAGGTTTTGATGCCTAACATCTAGATGTGGCCTTGATCTGTCTCCACTAGTATGCTACGATTACCTTTACGAGGTCCCAAAGGAAGAGCTGGATCCTATACGATATCGTCCCTACAACGCGCTAGTTGCCCACTGGATCCACTGTGCTCGAGGGAAACGATGATCACATTTGTTCAGAGCTTTCTTGAAGAAGTCTGACCATCGCGTAGGCGGTCGTCCAGGTGTTCGCTTGACATCCGTAGGTCCAGTCGGTAATTGCTCTGGTCCAGCGGTCGTCCTCAAAACGCATGACGGCCTGGCCATCCTGATCTTCGAAACTTTGGCAATTGCGGCTGCATCTCTGATTTTCGATCGTGGACGAAGTCGAGGCTACTGATCACTTCGTCACTTGCATGTAGTAGCCCAATTGAGCATCGTGAGCATCGTTCTTTCTATGGCGCGTTGAATGACGCTAACCGATGTTCAGCCTGCTTTACAGTCCAAGCCTATTTTCAAGCCGTAGGTTAGTGCGGGAAGGGTGGCCATATCGAAGAGGTGGGCACGGAGCCGGGTATTATCGGTCTTAGTCGCTACTTCCTGGATCAGACTCAGATTTTCTCCAACTTC